TATACAGATACATACATATATAAATACATACATACATACACACACACACAATATATATACATATATATATATATATATATATATACACACATATATATATGTATACACACACACACATATAAATATATATACATACATACATACATACATAGATATAGATATAGATATACATAATACGCACACACATATATATAGATCATTATATAATTACATATATATATATATATATTAATGTATATATATATATATATAAAGGTATAATTATATATAAGCAAATATACATATAAATAAATATATATACCTACAAATAAAAATATAAGGGAGATATATATGTATATGAATATATATGCAAGCACAACCACGAGTGCAAGTATATACACAAATTTGTATCAGATAAATATATATGTTATACGTTATACGTATGATAAAAACACGTGTTTATGAACCATTTATACGTATAAACACGTGCATGTAAAGATACATATTTGTATAAATCAAAACATATATACATGCACACACTAACACTCACCCGGTCACAACACACACACACATATATATATAAATATATACACACACACACACACATATATATATACAAAGATACATACTTACATACATACATACACACATACTTACATACATACATACACACATATATATACATACATAAATAAACACACACACACACACACACATATATATATATGTATATACATATATATATACAAAGATACATACTTACATACATACATACACACATATATATACATACATAAATAAACACACACACACACACACACATGTATATATATAAATATATAGATATCTACACACACACACATACACATATATATATATATAAATTCATATACACACATACGTACATACATACATACATACACACACACACACACACATATATATATATATTTCAACAGTCATATCTGAATTGAGTATAGATTTGAGACATAAGACACCGGAATGAGATTTAATATGCGTGTTCGTGCAAATGCGGGCATAAATGTGTAAATATAATATACATGAACAAGCACACACATACACACTTCGTCAAGCACACACATACACATAGCTACAAAGCGATACATATTTTCATTACTGAGAACCTTTATTCTGTAAAGAAAATATTTTGACTTGTCCAATACACCGAACTTGCAAGTCGACACATATTTAAAAAGACAATAAGAGCTTAACACCCGAGAACTATAGAATACAACTTCAATGTAAGTAGTTTACATCCTGAGTGACTAACAAATACAATTTCAACACATACACAACAAAGCGTCGATCAAGTCGAATATCATCTGTCTATACACAACTCTTGGACCAGAACTATAAACCAGTATCATGAGCCAGTACAAATATAGATGCGATTCTCTTGACACCGTAACAATTCAAATCTTGGAACTACGAGGCCAGAAGCAAACATGAGAAACTCATGTATTACTTGTACTTAAATTAATCACATTTCAAACCGTTTAGGTCAGTAATCAGCGTTCGTCTTCATAATACGATACACGATTGAAATCTAAAAAGGCAGAGCACAGGAGTTTACGCAAATTCCAACCGGATGAGGAATATATTCAAGAATCGAAAGCTAGAGCAACAAGTGCTTAATATGCTTAATATGCAAAACTCGAACGAACAGAGCTAAGTTATTTGTACCCAAATCTACCAACAAAACCGAAAACGGCCCTACTAGAGACAGGGAAGACAACAACGTTCAAGTCAAGTGTGACAAACACAGGACAATATTGTTGTAAATATGTACGAAAGTCCATAACTACACACACTCATATTTACTATATATATATCATGAGACTCATTTACCTCTAGTCCTAATTGCTTTGTCTGAGCAATCCTCGCTAACCTCTTGGGAAAGTTATATAGACTTGCAGGCTTCCCACAGGCCTTCTTCTTCTCTATCACACAACATCTTTCATTAGAATCAACCGTTGCTGCCGCCACCATGATGTATTTACTTATGTATATTGATATAGTTCTACGTAAATATATACTGACTATATGATTGTATGAACTGTGTCGGTGTGCACATAATCTATATCGCGCGAAGCTTTTCATATTAGAAAATACTTTTGAGTTGTGACCATAGCCTTTCTGAAATAGAAACTTGTGACAATGTAAAATACATACACTCTCTCAGTAATTTAGGCTACATACAAATGAGCTTTTTATTGCTATAAATAAAAAATAATAAAAGATGATGATGATGCACAATTGCACATCATCGTCGAGAATTCTGAATGCGAGACTGTGGAATATTCTTTCCTTTTTACTGGCCACTAGGCCTATGTGCGTTGTAAATTTTTGATGTCGTATATTATTGTGTTGTATCATGGGCGGGGCACGGGCGCACGGCGGCAGAGTGCCGAGGTGCAGACAGTGCAGAGTGCAGACTGCAGAACTACAGAGTACAGACTGCAGAGGCAGACAGTAGACACGATTAACACGAACAACCAATGCAGTCTTGAAAAGATCGATTCTATTGGATTAGCAGAGTATTGGGGTTTTAGTTCGACTGTATGTGTTCTTTTTGTTTGGCCCTCTGGAGTCTGGACCCACTTGCTTATAATCGAGCTATGCGCTCTGGAATATAAAATCGTAAATTGCGCAAACCCTAATCAAGAGGCCATGCTTTGTTAAGAGGCTATGTGTATGATTGTATTGGTTTTAGGACTTTAATTAGGTGGGTTTAGGGCTTCATTTATGTATGTATGTAATGTTATTTTGTAGGAGGCGCCCGAGGCGATGTGTAAAAGTTCAACACAACACACAGTCACACACGACTCCACACTATCCACAGTCCACGCGTGAGAGGAGGGAGAACACAAAAATTAAACAATATTCTCATAGACTCCTAAAAGGCTATTTATATACGGCAGGAGAGTAAGGACATGCACCGCGCGCGCGCGAGAGAGAGAGAGAGAGAGAGAGAGACTTAGTTTCTGCTGGAGCCTCTGGAG